GTACATTTGCACGGAATTATGACGATTTTGGAAAAATTTTAAGGGATATTAACGCACGGGTAACAAAACCAATATTTACCGCTTAATTTGTAATTAGAAAATAAATATATGTCAGAAAAGATAAAATGTAGTTTTTTTTTTTTTGGGGGGGGGGTTTGTTTTTTTTTTGTAATTATAGAAGAAAAACAGATTGTAATTTAATGGTGTACGAAAGTTTTGTCACCCTCTACCAAAAAGTAATGAGAACAATACAATATGCTTTGTATTACTGTATTACTTGATACAGTAATACAAAGCACATGTATTGGATTCAGTTTATTCACTTTCATTGATGCTGTCACACACCGAGAAGATCTGTATGAACATTATCATTTTCATGGCACAAAATGATGCTGCGCCATATCCTGTGTGATATTTTACGAAGCTTTCCTTTGTTGATTGTAGCAAAGGCTATCCAAACGTTACCCTTCAACTGATGGGCATTCTGGTACCGTTCATGTGAAACTCTCTCCTTGATAATACCCCTATAGGGCTTGGAAATAGAAAATTATATTATGTAGGGGTGACACGACTTTCGGAACACCCTGTATATCTTGATTAGTCAGACATATCAGTCATGAGAATGATCACAGAAACATGTGCAAACAGAAAATATACGAGGGGTGCTGAAAAATGCTTAGCCCCCCCACCACCACCACCACCAATTGACGACTCTACAGGATAATCCTAAGGTTTTGCCACCCTCTACCAAAAAGTAATGAGAACAATAGAAGAACAAGTAATACAGTAATACAAAGCACATGTATTGGATTCAGTTTATTCACTTTCATTGATGCTGTCACACACCGAGAAGATCTGTATGAACATTATCATTTTCATGGCACAAAATGATGCTGCGCCATATCCTGTGTGATATTTTACGAAGCTTTCTATCTTTGTTGATTGTAGCAAAGGCTATCCAAACGTTACCCTTCAACTGATGGGCATTCTGGTACCGTTCATGTGAAACTCTCTCCTTGATAATACCCTATAGGGCTTGGAAATAGAAAATTATATTATGTAGGGGTGACACGACTTTCGGAACACCCTGTATATCTTGATCAGTCAGACATATCAGTCATGAGAATGATCAAGGAGACATATGCAAACAGAACATATACGAGGGGTGCTGAAAAATGCTTAGGGGGTAATTTCTTCTTAGCCGGACCGATAACTTTTAAGCAACGTCTCCTATTAGTATCTGTCTATATTTCTGAGATGAGGTATTATGTACACTATTTACATTGCTCAGGTTATTCTCATCTTTGTTGCCATATTTATCACGACGTTTCGGCCGTTGTACGCTCCGGCCTTCTTCAGGTGGTTGGAATGTCGAACTGAACCCTTTATTTCGCTCGCTGGGGTAGACTGTTCTAGTTCCACGTGCCATGTTATCTCCTGTTAATACCCCTCACCAAGTTCTCCACTGCCTTAACCAGGTATTGAACTCACACTTTTGGGGTTCTGTCACTGGATCTTATTAACGCCTTTATCCACTGTGCCATGTGTCCTTGACTGTGTAGGAATTTCTGAGTATTATAAACCTAATGTCTTCAGCATCATTTTTTACCAGAGCTCATATTGCAACTTTCGTTGATATTATTACTTTTCTCTGGCACTCCTTATTACTGGTTCCCATATTGTATTCATTTCTATGCTTGGTCAGCTCAGGAGATTTTTGTGGCTTAGCATATGTGCTGATTTCTTAAGTTTACGAATTTTCCAATGATGTTCTGTGTTTATGATTTCAACCTGATTCCACAGAGGACGTTGATTTCCCTTTTCTCTCCATATGTGGTCAGCCACGCCTGATTTTTCCACTTCCCCTCGTGTTACAGTATAAGTAATGCTTACTTTTTGCTTAAAACATAATGAAAATAACATTTACGTATTTACACACGCCTATGATGCCATAGGGCAACAACAGTAGTTTTCAACTGTCATACCTGATTCCAAAAGCATAAAGAAACATTGTTTTCATTAAGTTTTATTAAGTAAAAAGTAAACATTATTTTTACAAAATCCAGTTAATTAATCTTTAAATTTAGTAAATGACTTCGAAACATAACCCTCGGATAAATATTGGAATTTTAAGAGATTTTGAAATTTGCTGTTTACATTTGTCTTCTATCATATACATATATATGTGTGTGTGTGTGTGTGTGTGAAAAGCGTATATAAATATAAATAAATATATATATATGTATAATTATTTATATATTATATGCGCGGTACTTATTAGAAAGCGCTCAATATCAGAGATAGAGCTAACATATTTGGTTGGATAAATGTGAGTTTGTGACCCCTTATATATATAAACTGCGGTTCGATGAGTCGATGAGTGAACGTACCAATGTTTTAAAAATGCCTAAAAATTTCTTTTTTTATATATACGGAAATTAATTTTTCTTTTAATTCGGATTAGCATTAAGCCATTTGTATCACGATACCTAAGGTTTAAATTAATTTTTAAAAACGAAAAAGATTTTTTGAAGCTTTCATTTTAGCTATAACTGAAAACTAAGGGGTTAAATTTACTATTTCCAGTAATAAAAATACTCTGGTGTATTTCAAACAGAAATTATATTGATTGAAATCGATTTTCTTTTTTTTTCGGTAACATCGACATTTTTAAGACATTTGTAAACACTAGTTTATTCTCCGTTTTAAAAATCTTTGAAAAATCAAATATACGTTTCTGAAACTTTATTTGATTAATATCAGCCGATTTAAAATATAATTAATCTGATTTGAAACAAATATTATTTACTGTAAGTTTAAAATATCGCAGAAACCCATTTTTAACCCAACAGTAACTGTATTTTTGATCCGGCAGTAGTTGTATTTTTGATCCGACCGTTACTGATTTAACGTGTTGACAGACTGATGACATATCTAATGTTGTTCTACGGAAGACTGTAAAACTTAACTGATGTAGGTGCTTTTCTTATATCATTTTTAAGTAGTCAGTAATCTTAAAAATTTAGAAAAATATTCTTCGTAATATCATGCTTTATTAAATTTTAGAAATATTGACTTAAAATTTACTATAGTCATCGCTCTTATTTTTTGATAATGTCGTGTATGATCGTCCGTACTTATAAAAAAGATTCAAAATTCTTTTTAAAATATTGGCGTGTGATGATTTGTATGCAGCTTTTCGATTTCTGATTAGTAAATATAGTTTTCATTTAATAACAATATTATCTAAAAGGCTGAAATGAATACAGAATTTTAAAAGATTTAAAACTTTATAAATTATTATAATTAAAAAATTTTAAAAATGAAATTTTTGTAAAAATTAATAATGTCTTTGTTTTATTGCTTTTTTATTTTACGATTCGAACCAGATTTTCGGTAAATGAGTAACTGTTTGAGAAAAAAATTGATGATTTAAATTCTGAAAGGAGTCCTGTTTTAACTTTAAAAAAATATTAACTTGATTAAAATTTAATTCCTCGAAATTTCAGTGTATGCGTGTGGGGGGGGGGTAACAGATATAGAAAAAATACCAAGATTTTCTAAAAATACATTTCAGAAATGATTTAACAGATGTAAAAAAATTACTAAGATTTTCTAAAAATAATTTAATTTATTCATAAATAAGTCCTGAAAATTTCATTAAAATCCGACAATTATTTGATTTTTGCAAGAATTTTCAAAACAACGTTTTACCGCAAAAAGAACGCTAAAATTCACTATACTAATTTTTGGCCCACCGCTGACCCAAGAAAAACAAGAACAAAAATTTCGAACGTGCTAGAAAGAATTACAAACATAATAAAATAATAAAAAAAACACTATGGCCTTTCCTCTTAATAATGACATAAACATTTTGACGATAAAACTTTGTTTTCATCAAGTTTGGGGCTGTTTCCTCATGTGCTTTTATTTAGCAAACAAATATGTTTATAAAATGATCGTGGCTTTTTTCGATAGTACATGGACGTATACACTTTATCTAGACATATTGTATAATGAAGGACAAAATGTTTGAACTGAATTCATTTTCGCCCCAAAATAAACATAACCATATCTGGTTGACACCCATGTATAAAAAGAGAGAGTGCTGAAATATTCCCGCACTGACCCAGCAGAGTGGTGTATGGATAAAGACAACACTATACATTTTATTTTGCCGGGTTTGGAGTTGAGCTGAATCCTCTCGGGTACGCGTGTGTATGCGCAAAATATGATCTACCCTCATAGTGAGAGAGGGTAGAAGAACGCCTCGGAATAACGAGTTGTGGTCACATACGTTTTTTATTTTTTTTATCTCATTAAAACAATGAAAGTGAAAGTGTATATATATATATATATATATATATATATATATATATATATATATATATATATATATATATATGTAATTGCTTTTTGATACTAATCTTCCCCTAATGCAGTGATTGTTTTTTGGGGGGTGGGGGGTCGAGAATGTCATGTTTCTTTCCAGGGGCCTGCAGTTAGTATTCATTTGCGTGTGTTTGCTTATAAACACAAGGAAAATATAGTGTTCATCTTGGACATCTATAAGCGCAAGATGGCCGGAAAAAAAAGACCTCCATATTTAAAGATTGTTAAATGTTATCATATATGTTACAAGTTGTATAGAGAGTATTTTTTTTTCTTTCATTATTCGAAAACTTATGTACAAAACCGTGATGGGCTTTCATTATTAAATAATGGCGTGTGATGATCGATTAATAATTGAGCACTTTTTGAGATATATATCGGAAATATTTAAAATATATTGGCTATGATTAAACAAATAAAAATGACAAAAAGAACTAAAGAATGTTGCAATGGGTTGGGCCAGCGACGTCATCTCCGGGGGCGGGATTTCGCACAAAAGGCCTATCCCATTTCTGAATATTAACAAATTTACTTAAGGAAGCTGCTGCTTTAAGTTTACACAGGTAGACAGAGAAAAATTACACAAATTGGTCTAAAAACTTATCACTATGAGAAAAAAATCGTTTAATTTAACCTGTCAGGTAAGAGTTTTGTTTTGTTTTTAATCTTAAGTTGTTTTTACTGCTTAAGCTTTTTTTTTTCTTGACAAAGAAAAAAAAAAGAAAAGGTAATTAACATTTTCGTTGTAATTTAAACAAATGTCTTATTCTATAAAAGTAAAATCAATGAATGAAAGATGTCAATTCACTTCACGAATTTATTTTTATTTAAGCTTTTTCGGAAATCATGAACAAAAAATTCAAAGATTAACTTCAATCTATTCAAGATAATATATCCCCACATCCTACAGAAAAAAGGTTTATTACTTGTAGGATTTTTTAAAAATTCCTATCTAGAAACTATGTCTAAGTTTGTATAGATTTTTTGTGTTTTTTTTTTTTTTTTTTTTTTTTTTTTAAATTTTACAGGCAAATAAAATGTAAACGACAAATCACTCAATATGTTGAGTTAATGCAATCTTTGCATGCGTTAAGCAATCGTCAAGAATATCGCTGTCTTTTCAAAAGTATTTTTGTACAGATGATCTTTTCTCAGTTTTTTTGCCAAGCCAAATTTAATCTTCTACTCTCGCCATAGAAACAAAATAGATGACACTCTCAGCATGTGTTATGTAAACACATCAAAATACAAAAAATCCTATCTATTCCATTGTGTACAGCAAATTAATCGAATTTTGTGTGCATTTTTAACACCCCGCAAAGCTTACCGCATTCCATTCAGTTTATAAATCAAACCGGGAGATGGAAGTGTAAACTCCGTAAATCGTTCAACGACGGGGAAAAGGGGGAAATAGCCAATATTAAAAGTAAACGAGTTCGAATTTCAACTGAACCTGTCTTTTTTATTACTGGCATGGCATTCCATAGTTGAATGAGCGAATAACTAAACCTCTCTACCTATTACGTGTTAAAACTTTTTGTTCATTTACACAAATCCAAAAATAAAAATAAAAAATAAACGATTTATTAAAACGATTGTAATATGTGTGTGTGTAAAATTACTACTTAACAAGTTACACGTAAAAAAAATATAATGTATTTGTAATGAAATTTTTTTTTTTTTTTTTATAATGTTGTATAAAAACTTGCCTTATTTACAATTGGGGGGGTCTTTCCCTCTTCTTCACTAACACAAAAAAGGAATAAAAAAAAAAAATGATGAAAGTCACCTAACAGTTACTAGAGTTGAAATACAGTTTTGTTGTCTTTTGCCAAAAATATTTTCTTGCCTGCATAAAAATATTATAACTTACTCTTGTCTTTTTATCCAAATTGTTTTGTGAGTAAAACAGAATTATTTAAATGAATTAAAACGGTAACCATTATAAACGCTTTTCCTTCACTAAGTGATTTTTGCAACGAATATCTCTTTACGAAATAAGACTCTTCGCATTTTTTTTTTTTTTTTTTGCTATTAGTCATTAGTTTCAAGGTTTGTTCATAAAAGTTGTTTTATTAAAAACTTCAATTCTGTTAAGTAAAACTTGTACTTAGCGAGTAATTTAAAATACGTTCTATAATATTACCCGCCTCGGTTTCTTTTTTTTTTTTGCATCTGCTTGCAAATTTTATGTTTCAGTACCAATTTTCTTCTTTTATGTATTCTGACTTTTCAGGACGTTAGTGTTCATTGTGCTCCACAACTTCCTATCCTAAGCAATTTTTGTCTTCTTACTACCACTCCCAGTCCTTGATCTGCCATCCATTTACAAAAGCTCGTTTGAAAGGTTACTTGATGTTTACGACTGCTGCTTCTCTTGCCTTCCAAATATTCCGTGAGGGTCTAATTCCGTAAGCCCTCTTTATGAGTCACCGAAATTCTAACCTTAGTTTTCTGATTCTTACTATCAATAACGAAATAGTTTATCAAACGTTTTAATAATAATCTTTCTTTAAATTATTTTGTTTCTAAATCTTTCCGTTTTATTTTAGAACATAAAAATCTCTCTCAGGATGGTTATTTTAAATCTTTTATGACAGCAAGATGAATATAAAACAATTTAGTCATTTAATAGTTTTGATTTTATCTTAAATATCTTGAATACAAATTTAGTCAGTGGCAAAAAGAAAGATGGCAGTGAGAATTTTTATAGAGTTATAAATAATAAAATAACGAGCTTTTGTTCTCTCTCGTACCTGTTCGTGATCACCGAAGCGAAACCGACTAACTATTTTTTACTTTATAAATGTTTAGTTGGCTGTGAGAAAGATTTACGCATTGGGTAACAAGCCATACAAGGACAGGTCATAGAGGCAAGACGGAAACACCAGGGACACTGTCATCTCACTCTTGTTTTGTTTTTTTTATCTTACTGTTCGTACTGAAACAGTTTTAAAGAGGTCATTTTTTTATAACGCATTTGGTCCCTGAAATCGTGACATATATAGTCTGCTACACTTTTTAAACTGACCATTAATTCGAGGTTAGAAAGATTTAAATGAAATTCTAAGTGTAAGTATTAAGAATCCCATTTTCCATGATGTTGCTTGGATGTTTTTGGGTTTTTTGGTTTTTTTTAATTTTGCACTGTGGAGTTATGGATAGCGGCTAAGATTGAGGAATCGGAGAGTCGAGTTCGAATTCCCTCGAATCCATTACATTCACTTACGTGCTAAAAGCCTTGGGAAAGATATGAATTCTCTTCTTCTCCCACCAGCTATAGGTAAATAGCAGGACAGACCGGGTTCTATAGCCTTGGATGGCAACTGCAGAAAGAAATGGCAACCAACTGCGCGAAAAAATCTGCTCCGTCATTCATGTATCGAAAGATAGATTATCGCCTAAGCGTGTATCACGTATGGCACATAACTGACTAGATTAATGTGTAAATTTAAATTTTTCGCGCACACACACACACACATATATATATATATATATATATATATATATATATATATATATATATATATATATATTATTATTTATCTAAAATTGTTATAAAATCACTACAAAAATAGCCATTTTGTTTCAACACTTCTGGTGTCTTATCAAGTGATAATGTAGAATAAAGGGTTTTAAAAAGTTCAAATTAACCACCCCTTGCAAGGGGAAACGTTGTTACATAAGCTGGAATGACCAATCAAAATACAAGTATATGAGAATTAAAAAAAACTTGACAATAAAATAAGGTTATATTACCTATTAAATGCTTTAAAGTTGGGGTTAAACTAAAATAGAATTTATTCTAACTAATAAGTCTTAAATTATGATAAAATAAAAAATTACCCATTTTAAAATCTAAATTTAATCCCTATTAAGTTTAAAATTATAAAATTACCGAATTAAAAAGAAAACGTACATATGTTAATCTATTTATTTTTTTTTATTGGAATTTATTCCGTATACACCAATCCTATACTTGAGATATATATATATATATATATATATATATATATATATATATAATTAGGTACCTACACTTTTTCGGCATAAATTTTCGGTACCTAAGGTTTAAAATGATTTTTAAAAAAATGAAAAAACATTCTTGAAGATTTCATTTTAGCTTGAATTGAAAGCTAAAGGATTAAATTTATTTCCATTAAGTAAAATATTCTGGTTTATTTCAAATAGAAATTATATAGATTGGAATGTCAAATTTAATTTCGATTTCTTAAAATTTTCTTAAAAGCGGCCATGTTATTTCAGTAAAATTAGAAAATTTAAAGTTAAATTAATCTGATTTGAAATAAATATTACTTTTTTATAGAATAAAATAGTAATATACAACAATTTGTTATTGTTTGTTCCTGTTTATCTGAGGCGATGATTTATGGATGATTGAGTGACGAAACGATGACAGTATGGCTGAATAGAATTGACATAAAATTTACGAAATCTAAATGAACGATTTTTTTTTTCTTTTTTTTTTTTTTTTTTTGAGTGGGGTAAGTGCCTTTTAATTTTTACAAATGAACATATTTTCCGCAATTATCTAATAACTTATTGACTTTTATTTACTTTTCGAATTTGCTTTATGCAAAAATAAAAAATTAAAATACTATAAAATTTTAAATTAATTTCTCTCTAAAAAAACAATTCTTAGATCACGTGACCTTTTCATAATATCACGTTTAGCCTTTCATAGATGAAAAAAGGGGACGTACAAAAATAAAAAAATAAAAAATTATTTTAATAGAATAGTGTATCTAGGTTTATTAATCTTTTCAATTTGGATTCGTAAATTTCGTTTCCACTTAATTACTATATCATATCCAGAAAATAGCCCAATGCAGAATTTTACACGATTTTAGACTATAATAAATTAAAATTAAAAAAAAATTCTTGTAAAAATTCATTATTCATCGGAAATTATATATATATATATATATATATATATATATATATATATATATATATATATATATATATATACGCACTATTTACATTATTCGGACTATTGTCATCATCTTTGTTACCATATTTATCATAACGTTTTGGCCGTTGTACGCTCCAACCTTCTTCAAGTGGTTGGAATGTCGAACTGAACCCTTTATTTCGCTCACTGGGGTAGATTGTTCTAGTTCCACGTGCCATGTCTAATGGATGTCAGTTATCGGTTATCTCCTGTTAATTCCCCTCTCCAAGTTCCCAACTCCCTTAACCAGGTATTGAACTCGCACTCTTTGGGTCCTGTCACTGGATCTAACTAATGCCTTTATCCACTGTGACCTGTCTCTTTATGTTCCAAGAGGAGAAACTAAAAACCAAATTGACTACATAAGTACCAACAAAAGATTCAGGAATGCAATGGTTCACTTCAAAACCTACCCAAGTGCCGACTGTGGAAGTGATCATCGCCTTGTTATATGTAAACTATGTGTGAAACTACGAAAACTGAAAAAGCCTAACGCAGCATCCAAATTGCATACAACAAACTCCTGAGCGACCGGAAACTGAAGATAAAATATATGGACATTGTGAAAAGAAGATACAAGGGACAAAATGGCAAACTAAACTGGAAATAGAACAAACTAAGAGAAGCTTTAGTGACATCAGCGACGATATCATCCCAAAAGTGAAT